CTCTCTCTCTCTCTCTCTCTCTCTCTCTCTCTCTCTCTCTCTCTCTCTCTCTCTCTCCCTCCCTAAAATAAAAAAAAATGTAAAATAAATCCCTAAACAAACAGTAAAATAAAAAAAATAAAAACAAATGGTGTGCGCACCCGGTGCACCTACGCCCCGCCAGCGCGCACCCCCCAGCGCACCAGCGCGCAGCGCACTCGGGTGCACGCGCACCTCGGGTCCGCGCACCGCGCAGCGCACAGGGTCGGTGCGCCGCAAGTATGATTCAACACCATATCCTTTACTCTCTCTTCATAACCACCCGCACCATCTTCCTCGGCAGAGTAGATGAAGTCACTATAACCTCGTTCTGTCTTTGAATCGAGACATAATCACCCCATGTTCCATTGGGTGAAAGATGTGAGCAGAATCCCTCAAAGTTATATTATTGTAAGGACCTGCCCAAACATGGACTGAGAACACAGCTCATTTCTGATTTTTGCCGCTAGAATGAATGCCTTGCTGAGATTCCCGCTTTCTGCTGAGTTTTCTAAGTCTGTGTGTGTGCGTGCTTGCTGGTCTGCGTGCCTGTCTGAGTGCTTGTCAGCTTAAGTGTGTGTGTGACCCGCAGGGCTGCTACTTACCTGTGGCCGTTACTTTGACGGCTGCAGCGGGGAAAACACTCAAGTAGTAGGTAGGCCGGTACCACTCAACTAGCGGTAGATGTGCCAGGGACTGGAGGCGCCGAGCAGAAGAAGACAAAAGTAGCATTTTTAGAGGCCCAGTAGGGGTAGGCTAGGTCTAGGCGGGTACCAGTCCAAGTACATGTAGTCTAGGGCCTGTGCAGACGATATCAGAGCCTGCAATGATGTTTCCCTCCGAAAGGGAGGAGGTACCGGTTGCTTGGAGGCCGCGCGGCCTGGAAGTCACCGCCCAAGGAGGCTGCTGCCTCCCTATATCTCCGGGAAGAGCAATGAGCTCTTCCTCATTTGCTGCATGCAAATTTGGGCGTCACGCTGCTGGAGCACATGGTGGAGCAGCGCTGGTCCGGAGCAGCACTGCTGGGGAGCACCCAGCTCTCCACCTTGGCTATAGTGGAGGAGCTCGGGCAGGAGGAGGAGGAAGAAGGGACTAGGAGAGGGGAGCGCCATGGCCACTTACCTGGTTATGGTGGTTGCCATCTTCATCACCTTACTGGGCGCTGCATCTGGAAGAACCCCCGTTGGGGAAGAGCTGCACCAAGAAGCTTGTGGCAGAGTTAGGCATGGTGGCCTGAAAGGAAGCAGCCATAGCTGCTTTGCGTTGTCTTTTGCACATCAGGACTGGGCCCTTAGTAGTCCGTCATACATCGGCCTCGAGGAAGAAGGAAGAGGAAGGCCGCCATGGCTATGGTCGACCTCAATTTGTGCTGGCAGTAGAAGAGGGTTTCGGACATTGATTGTAGTTCTGCCATTCATCATTATTATTGTTATTTATTGTTTGAATAAGAGGGGAGGAGAAAAAGAGGGGGAGTTTGGTTGGCAAGAGGAAGGGCGATTATCATTGGCCTTTGCTGGTGTACATCTTCTTCTTCTTTCCCTCTCTCTATTTCTCAAGTTCATTCATTTCTTTTTGCAATTCGATGGCATTGTACTTTCTTGCGATTTTGCACTTTGAAATTGGCCAGGATCGTAACAATATGCTGTTATGTGAGCACACCCTCACACTGACATTAGTCCTACGCCTCTAGCAATCGAGACCAATGTAGGCCCTAAGGTCATTGAATCTGAGATTTACAGCAGCGATCAGCTGAAAGGTAAGACAGCTCAGGAAACAAGATCTGTGACCTAAAACCTCAGGCCACATTTCGCTCCGCACACAATGGTCCCAAAACCACAGTTTACCATCAGAGACACCTTGATGCCCTAAAATGACCCAACAACCAATCCGGCCTTGGCTGACTCGTCAACGTATCAATGTTCTTGTTCTGTGGAGTTGGAAAAGTACGTGAAACATCTCAGGAACTCTCAAGGAATCGCACGGTCAGAAGCCTGAGGACCCATCCTCTAAATCACGGCCGCAATCTCCTAAAAAAAGAACACCATTGGTCTTTGCTTGGTTGTAGCGAACCCTTGGCCAACAGCTCCCCAACCTGTCGGGACACTCGTTCTACTGTAACTGCTGCTATAGTGGGAGACTTGTCAACAGAAAAACTCTATACATAGGTAGTTCCAGGTACTCTATAGTTAAGTAGCAACAGGAGCATTTCCGTTCACGTCCCATTGCTTGGGATGTCGTGATCTGGACTAGCTTCCGCCAATCGTCATGGGGTGAGACATACGACAAGTGTTTCCCTGATCGATGTCTCTCCTTAGTTCATAGCATCATTGGCTGGGTCTTGCTGTCAGTACTTCGCTGCAAGCAGAAATCAGACGTCGGCTTCTTACACCGCTCTTGACGTCCCCCAAAAAATGCAGTGCGCAGAATGCAAGAAGGTATCGAGCGGGGGGGGCGGGGGAACGGCTGACGCAGCAGTGCAAAATAACGATGAGGAAAAACATGAAAAAGTGGGCCACCCACAGGGGAAAAGAAGAAGGGCCAACGCCCAAACCTGGGCCTAGCTTAGTTGGTACACCCACAAACTGTTGAAATGCAGACCTGAGTCAGATCCAAATGGGACTAGATGAATGAAAAAGTTATGAATTACCTGGGGCCAGTTAGTTCCACAATGATACCCAGCCGTTGTGGCTGAATGGTACACCCATACGACTGTTGATAATTAGCCCTGAGTTTGAAACCTAATAACTCATCAAATGGCAATTCTCTAACTCAAGGTCATTGACCCACATGCACGAAGCACGAAGCACACACGCAAACGCACCTCCACACCCCCATGAGAGGAAGCACACGATGGCATGAATATGCGCATGCATGCATGCACACACGTCACCACACACACACACACACACACACACACACACACACACACACACACACACACACACACACACACACACACACACACACAGGCACGGACACAGTCAGAGTGAGACAGAGAACTGATTGTAGGTTGAACATAGAGGGCGATGTGTGCACACATGAGCGCAAGAGACAGAGACAGAGAAACATGGAGAGCGAGATAGAGAGGGAGAGGGAGCGAGGGAGGGAGCGAGTTGCCATTTCGTTATCTGGTGTTGAGATTTCTCGCACTAGCGTTGAGAGGCCAGCAACAGTATGAAATCGACTCGGCGTGAAGTATCGAGTCTGGCAAGGTGGTGGTTGAGAGAGGTCAGGTCCCCAAAAGTAGATGATAGGGTGATGGCACTCTGAGGTGCCGCTTGACCATTGACTTAATTCTCATTTCAGTGTTTCACACAATGTTTTCGCTTTGTGTGGTCATCTGATTTCATTGCGGTCTCTTGATGATTTGTCATTCACTGAGGTCTGTGAGAACATGCATGATGCTGATGATGATGCTGATGATGATGCTGATGATGATGATGATGATGATGATGATGATGATGATGATGATGATGATGATGATCAGGAGGACGAGGAGGATGTAAGCTTAAAGAGCGATACACCTGCAGTAGATTCAAGAGTCATTCGCCTGTGAGAGAGAGAGAGAGAGAGAGAGAGAGAGAGAGAGAGAGAGAGAGAGAGAGAGAGAGAGAGAGAAGCCTTTTCGCATGGGAGCGACTAGCCTTGTCGCGTGCGAGCAGAGCAGCCTCTCCGCACGCAACCAGAAAGCTTTTTCTGTGCACAAGCGGCCTTTATACGCAATAGAGAGAAAGCAAGCACCATTTTGCACATACGCACATGAGAGAGAGAGAGAGTTCTGACTTTTGTGGCAGGTTTCGGTTTGACTGCTGAATTTCCTATGCCTTGATTTGACAATTCACCCCAGGCCTATCGCCCTGAGGACTCTCTGCAGGTTCTTTAGGAGCTCTAGGAGCGACTTTTGACCCTAGAACCCCGATTCGGCCAAAAGTTACGACACTAGGACTTGTCCTGTGCTGATTTCACCTCAATTCTTCCCAACCACAGCACCACCAATCAGTGGCAAACATGCCCTGGCAACTGGCAGCGGCCGCTGGGCTGGGAACTACGTCTTCACCCGAGTACAACGCCCGGTCATTATCGCTGCATCTGGAGTGAAAAATGCCGCAAATACTGCTATAATGACCAAGCATTATATTCGGGTGAAGACGGTAGTGATCGCATACGCTGGTGCTCACTGTGCTGCAGTTGACACTGACCTGGCCCACAGACAACCCTCAGTTGCCACCAGCAGAAGACGAGTTGCAACTTGTCAGACAACAAGACAGTGGTTTCGAAAAATCGCTTGCATACGTTAGTTCAGGCATCCCTTCCTTTCTATCTGAAAACCTGCAATGAGGTGTCTGTGATAACAGGTGGTAAGTAAATTAGGAGGACTAGATTCAGATGGACAAGGTCCTTTCGTCCACAAATGGTGTGTGCAGCTGAGCCACTCGTCTCCTTGTGATAATCATCGTCCCCGGAATAGAACGAGCAGTTATTACAGCTGTATTTAGGGCAACTCTCAGCCTGAATACAGCAATAATGACCGTACGTTCTATCCGGGCGTAGACAGTACCTGTATCTTGTCAACAGCAAAGCTCAACAGAATGCTGCTGAAAATAATCCATGACCCCACACTAGGGTATGTGTACACCAAACACAACCGTAAATTTCAGACACACGAAATGCGAGTAAGCTGACCACAGTATGGCCTTAATAAAAACATCTAGCACAATACCGCCCGGCCTTTGACCTCATGACACACCTGTAAGGGCTGCTCCTCTTGCATCGCCTGTCTATCAGACACGAGATCCCATTGGCTTGGAGGAGCGAGGCCTGTGTCAGACTCCTTGATACCTACAAGCAGCATAGACACAGCAACAGCTCAAGTTAGGCACACGTTAAGGATATCAACATATTTAAGAAATACGGGTTTGCTCCTACCCATACATACATCAGTGACCTTCATAATCATTCTAATGTTTAGAAGCAGCATCTTCCCCCGAACTCATGTTGAATTTGACCTTCCTTTTCAAAATCATTTCATTTGTTTGAAAGTCATTGGTGAGTTCGACTTTCCTTTTCAAAATCATTTCTTACGAAAGTAACGAGTTCTTTTACCGGTAGAAGAGGAAATCGAATAGAACGCATCTATTGCACTCCAACAGAAAGCATGTGCTTTGTACTTGAGATCTTTCAGGTAAAAATCTGAAAAGGTGGAACAAAACATCACATCACAAGGTTATCTTCGAACAGGACCTCGTGTCATGGCATTCTATTCGAGCAAATCATAACGTTTAACACATTTCTCTCTCTCTCTCTCTCTCTCTCTCTCTCTCTCTCTCTCTCTCTCTCTCTCTCTCTCTCTCTCTCTC